AGATCAGTTGACAGGCGGCGACTTCGGCTTGAGCTCGTATTGATGACGAAGCCTCTCCATCGAATAGAACGCCCACCAGCCGTGCAAAAACCCACTTCGAAACCTCCCCATCAAGCCCAGAAACATCACCGTCTCTCAACCTCGTAGTATTCCACCAAGCATGCACAGCAGGAACAAGCTGCTCATTTGAACGCCTCAGAGCCTAGTTTGACTATTTCCAGACCTGAGGGGGAGGCCATGCCATCGGTGAAGGATAGGAATGTGTCGAGTAAGGTGAATAGTTCTTCTGGGTTAATTAATGTGTTGAACCACCTAGTAGTACTAGTGCGAATCGGACCTTATTATAAATTGGGTGTCGGAAATGTGAAAAGGAGGTTACAAGAGGACTTACGGAGAGTGATGAATCACTGTCAAGAAGAACGAGTTAGAGCTAAGCGCTAAGCACCGATGTCTGTGAGGGCCTGAGATACGTGGTCAAATGGCTTCAAGACGCTGTTGAGACGCTGGTCTGTCACGTCTGTTGTCGAACGTTTGGCAGTTGCAATGGTGCGTGGCATCGTTGAGTGCGAGTGAACACCCCTTCTTCACGAAGGAGGTCCACGAGAGCAAAGGATTGCAGCGAATTGAGGGCAGTGCAAGTCGAAGTTGAGGACGTCGTCCTAACCTCATTACATACGTATGGCAAAAAGTACTCATGTACAAGATTATCCAAATTACATCTGATTCTCAAGAAAGCGGTAAGTAGTTAGCGTATTACAGAAAAAACGGAGGTTAAGTCATGTCCAGATGAGATGAGACTACCTAATCCTAAATCGCTAAATCGAGGGTATCGCTCATGGGATCAGGGTACGGGTATAAGTAATCCTGATACTTGTACAGCTTCCAGGAGTGTAGAATGCCCTTGACGAAGACCCGTGAAACCGCTAAGATTCGGTAGACGTCCTTCGTCTGGAGGCGGAGAACCCAGGGGTTGAGGATGCTGGTAGTCGATGATGTGTTTGGTAGCTCACGTCCGTTGGTTCCAGACCATGTCCGTAATATCCCGGTGAAGTATTGATAAGGGTTGACGACGAATCAGGTTAGTGTCGAGGTCTCCAGGAACCCCTGCGAAGAGTGTGGATGTTGCTCCCAGCGTATCCGACGGCTTTTCCATGCTTGTCCCACTGTTGGTATCCCATCTCAACCCGTTCGGTCAGCGTCACAGGGATCTGGGAGTCCGAATCTCTAGGAGACTAGGCTTGAGAGCGAGGGTGCTCTCTAAAAGATTTCCGGAATACGGAGAGAACCCTTGAGCTAGCCTTCTTTGGCTGAAGGCAACAGTTTAGGCAACCGATGGCAATGATATGGAAGAAGGCTTACCGCACTTTCCGTCTGGCATAGATGACCTCCGGCTTGACCACGTTCATCTGATGGAGGATGTACCACATGGCCACGATGGTAATAAGTATGGTGATGGCTAGAACGACATCCTGCTGATCTGTCGAGGAGTCAGTGAATGCGTTCAAAAGATGGGGAAGGACAGACCAATACTTGGTGTGTGACGAGGCCGAGTAGTCTGTAAATGGTGAATACATCGACTCCGCCGAAGGACTTGGGGGCGCGTGAGACCTTCTGAGTCGTCGTCTGCATCCTTTTTGTCAGAAGAGAGAGATAGCTCCGATCTCAAGTGACTGTAATTGTCCTTCAAAACTGGTGTGGGATGAACCTCAGCATCGTCCGTCAGTGTCGGATACAAAACATGACTTTCCGCCACTGTGAGTCGCTCACTCCTGTTTCCGAACGTGTACACCCATTATCTTTATCAGTGGGTAGAATCTTCACGCACTTTCGCACCACTCCTGTACGTCTCCTGGAAAGCGGGTTCAATTTTGCACTGGTAAAGATTTTGAACGTTCAGGGTTAATCTGAAAAGAAGTGAGCCTCAGGAATAAACCCATTGAGATGAAGAGGTTGTCACCATAAAAGTGCCGAGGTAATAGAAGAGATTGAAGGCCCCGAGTGAAGAGAGCGCTAGCCGCAAGGCACGTGAGAGGCGTGACGCCGATCACAATATCTTCTTCATATCCTCTGCCTTTCATCTTCGGAAGATATTTTTATTATATTCACAACTGATGCCGTGATCAGATGCTGATGTTATTGATGAAGAAATTTTAAATATCTTCATCATATCCTCGCTGATGTTGTCCCTGAACAATTTATCAGTTTATCTCTGATTTATTCTCAATATCTTCTGTGAATAAATAGGCCAATGCCCCCAGTGTAAGTTCTTACTCATATCTTACTCTTTTGGGCTCTACCTGACCGAAATTTCTCCAGGAACTATCTCCCCAGTTTACGAAACGTTGCGTTTAACCGTTCAAATTCAGCACTCGTTTTTGTGGAGAATACGGTCCAATACCAAAAAAGTAAGCTGACTGGTAAGTTCTTACTTGAATTTCATGTTCTTGTGCTCTACCTGACCGAAATTGCTCCAGGAATTACCTTCCCGGCTTACGAAACGTGGCGCATAACCGTTCAAACTCGGTGTTTGGTTTTCGTGAGGAAATAAGGTCTCATACCAAACAGTTAGGTTGACAAGTAAGTTCATGCTCAAATTCTGCGTTCTTGGGCTCTACTTGACACCAATTACTTCAGAAATCTTCATTATCAATAAGCAGTAGTTATGCAGCAGTATAGCACCCTGATAGCGAAGAGGAAGATGATCTTGAGGGCGACGTTGAGTCTGAAGGGGGCAGTGGGAATGAGTCAACAAACAACGAATCAACAAAGGCAAAGGCAAAGAAAGGCAAGTACAAACCTGGACGCAACGATATCAAAGCAGCACGCAAGACCAATGCGATCGCGGGAACACCCTCTACGAACACCTCCAGCTCAGTCCCTCAAGAGAAGGAAGCTAGTAGCCGGTGAGTGGTCACGTTAGTCAGAGCGCTCTCACTAAACACGTACCCAGCGCACCACCAAAGAAGAAGGCGAGAAAAGACATCGCAGGTATCGCCGCCGACTGGGAATCACGCCGCAAACCGGTTTCTTCAACGGCCGCTTCGACTAACGACATCGATAACGATTCCATGGTCAGGCAGGGGGGTATAGCGAGTGATGGCGAAGGCGACGACGTGGAACGAAAGGCGATCGCAAATGACCGTAGTGCACCCAAGAAAGTTGGTAAGAAAAAATTGGTATGTTCTATTCATCTATTAGTATATGGGTTTTAACTACGATGAGTCCACAGCCTAACATGGTGAATATCAGCTCCATCACCACCTCCCAACCTACAACCAAGAAGCAGGCTCGGGGAGGTCACGCTCGATGGACGCTACAACACCTTCCAGCTGGCACGGACAAGAAGTTCACAGAGCACGTCGTCCCTCTTGCAAGGCTGAAGGCGGGGACCATCACTCCTTGGGCCGGGGGGATCCATCGACCAGGTTCAGAAGATCGTGGACGACGTTTTTGGAGAAGGTGAGCATG